CATACTTCTTCTATACTAATTGATATTTCCTTTATAAAGTAAAAAGTACGTTAGAGGAAGAGCAACATTTCAGGTAAAGAGGAAGAGGAGGTTTTTTTTTTTTTTTAAATAAGTTCCTTATCCTCCCAGAGAGGCTGATAAACTGAGAGCAGAAATAAATCCACCCAGCATTTATATTTAGGCATATTTAACAAAGGGTCTGTCCTGGTTTGAAATGATTAATAATCTAATGTTCTGATCCAGATGAGTGAAGTAAAGCATAATCTGAGCCTCGTGTCGCAGAGCTGCAGGTCCAGACAGAGTCAGACTTGTTGAGGGGATCTGTGGTCTCTGCAGACAGCTGCTTTATTCACTCTGTAAAAGAGCAAACAGCTGCTGCAGCATAAAGTCCCCTGTTTCACTGGATCCATGAGATTAATTTATTATGGAGCAGATAAGAACAGGAACTTTATTTTCAAAGGTCAAACTGTTTGACAGTCAGCGAGAACTAATACAACAAGCAAAAAGCCAGCATATATGATCCAGCTGCAGCTCCGGTCCCTGAACGCTCCATCAGGTCCCATTATCAATGAGGCTGAATCTATCAGGGAAAAATCAACAGGAACGTTTCATACTGAGCCTCATCGCCATGTTCATCTGTCCGCAGATCATAAAAGCCCTGAGGAGGCCTAATTGGAAAAAAAAAATGTGCTTGTTTTCAAACAGTACTGAGGGCGGAGGCTGGTAGTTTTCCATCAGCAGTTGGCTGTTAGCCCAGAGAGAAAGTTCAATCTCATAAAAGGCTCTAAAGGTGGCGGACGTGTTTGGCAGGAACATGATGCTTTCAGGGTAAACACAGGCTGCTTTCTAAAGAAATGAAACCTATCGTATTGGGAGGCAGGGCTCTTCATTCTGCTCCACTCAGATTACACAAATTACAAAAACTCCATTAAAAGGGCCTTTAGTTCAGTTTTTATGTCCAAATTAGAGTTAGTGTGTTGTTGTTCTGCAAGATTTAAATGCTGAGAAGAAATGATTAAATCTATCTGATGCTGTTTCTATTCTTAAAGTATCTGCAGGCTCAGACTGATGACTCAGTCTTCACCATCATGTTCTAAATGCCAAAAGTCTAAACTGATAGTTAGATCATCAAAATGCATCATAGCGGGAAATTATGGAACATTTCCACTTTCAATACATCTGAAATCATTCGTCGTGTATAATTTTTTTTTATATATTTGACATTTAAAGCAGCTGTAATGCTTTAAAAAGAACACATGATCTATTACAGAGTCAGTCAGTCAGCAGATCAGGTCCAGAAACAAAGTTTTTTCCAGACAAAATTTTGTTTTTTTTGATAAAACTTCCAAATTTCACCAAGTAAACTACAAAACGTAAGAAGAAATTGTGCCAACTGAACTCTTCCTCCATGTTTAACCCACAGCTCTGCCTGTCATTAGATCTGATTGGATTAAAATAATAAAAACTTCCCCTTTGTCATTATCCTGCCAAATTCTTTTCATTGTTTTCCTTTTATATGCAGCACTATTAATTATCCTGCTATTGAAATGTGTTTTGTTTTTTTTAACACTCCTTATCTGACCTTTCAAACTTTTTTTACTTTCTGTTCTTGTTTTGAGTTACTGGTAAAAGGCAGTCTTTCAAGCTGCCTAAGCTTGATCTCACATTCTTATCTATGAGCTATGATCTTCATAATCTATGAGCTTTTTTATAGAACCTCCATCCTGTTCACAGCAGAAAGAGTTTATGCAGAGAAAACAACACCTGAGCTCTGCTAAAGCAAAGACCTGCTGGTCTCTGAAGCATCCCTGTGAAAAGATGCTCTGTTTAAATGAACATAATGCATCTGCAGAAATTCAGTAAAAGTTCAAAAAATATCCACTGGACTTGGTTTCCAAGATTTGAAGACCTTTTGCCACCTCTCCAGGAAGCTTTCTCAATTCAAATGTTTGGATCTGCAGTAAGTTTGAGTCTATATATAGACAAGGCCTTGTATTGCTTGAAAACATGCAAATGGAAGAATGTGCAGAAATACCTGCAGTCAGAAGCCAAATGATAAAACTCCAGTAAGAGGATGAAATGTGCATAAAGTCAAAATCAGTAACTGGTTCAGGCTCTTTGCACACTGCGGCATGCTAGATCACATCTAACGTGAATAATCTGACAGTTCTGTCCTTTTCCTGTCGTAATGAGGAAGGGATGATAATAAACAACAATTTTTGCCTCCATCGATCCTAAAGCCTGGCTGCCATGAGGACCAGGCTGCAGAAAACCAGGCTAAAAGACAACAGACAAACTCTTCAAAGCTCATCTGGCAAGTTTTTATAGCTTCTCTTTCTTCTAAATTATGTGAAATTTGTCAGAGAATAAAAAAAACAGAAACATCCCTGTTTCAGTTCAGTCATCATCTGACTGCTGTCTTCTGTTTTTTAAACACGTGGCTGAAACCTTGTTTTTACCAAATTTCTTGTTTTGCTTCTTCTCTGGAAATTTCTGCAAGTCTTTTTGTTATTTTGAAAACAGACAAAGAGACAAATCAAAGACATAACCTCCTTGGCAGAGGTAATAACACAAATAAATAACAGAGCAAGAGAACATTTTCTACTTTATGAAGTTAACTGCAAACCTGTAATTTTTCATAATTTCTAAATATTATTCAAGAAAATTGTAAAATATTGAATTGGTCTGAGGGAGAAATCAGCTACAATCCAGTTTTTATGCATATTTCATCATAAGAAACTGATCACACTGTAAAAACTGATTTCCGCTTATTTGAGCAGGTAAATAAGATCATCTGCCAAAGGAAGGGGGATTTCCGCCCTTAACAACAAAATCATTTGATACTATGAATTTAAAATAAGATCATGAATATTTATTTACATTCTTGAAACCTAAATCATCTTACTCTCCATTTGCATATTGTCTTACCAACCTGCTTAAAGCAAAGGTCATCTTTAAAAGCTCCTATTAGCATTTCTAAAAATATCACAAATTATCCTAGAATTTAAAAATGATCTGAATGATTATATGGAAAACTAGTTTGGTTTTAAAATATTTTCATAAATGTTTAGACAAAAAAATGTAAAAAGTATAGAAGACAGAAATCTTCAGATTTCGGGTTGATGCTTCTAAAGCGCCTGAACCTCTGAATCACAGTGAGCCATTCTGGCTCATAGCAGGTACCTCTTTATATTGTGGGGCTGGTTGCTTAGTGCTACGCTAATCAAATCATGCAACTTAAATAGGACTGAAGTGTCAACCCTTACTTATGGTTTGGTCTAATTAAGGTTTGCATGTCTGAAAATGTGCAAACATCGTTCACACACAGAGAAGATCAGCTGACAGCTCGTCCAAATCTATTTTTGCATTAGTCAGTATGCAGATTTTTCGATTTCCGATTTTTCAGTCTAATTAATTAATTAAATCAGTCTAATTCTAATTAATTAATTAGTGATTCTAAAAGTTATTGTTCCTCTGCTGTCAATACTCTACTGCAAACACAAGCCTTTATTGAGCTGAATAAATACACAAATGACTTTCCATACTCACGGGGAAGCAAGTGTTCCACAGTAATTGGAGGTTAGGGTGTTATTTACCCATCCAATCATCTAAATACAGTACAGTATTTGTTAAAATCACAAATTAAATGTTGCAACGGCCTTCTAAATGTGTTTATTTGTAAAATGCTGTAATATATATTTGTAAAAGGCAGTAATATAATTATCTGCAGTTTTAACAGGTTATATTTTGTTGAGTGTTTTCCTTATATCAGGCTTAAACTCTGGAACTGTCATGGTTTTATCTAAAGCTCGGACCCACATGCAGAGAAACCAATTCAGAGAGGCCAGGGGAAAAGATTTAACAGGTTTCATTGAAGAGATAAAGCATGGTGCAGTGTTGCTCTGAACTCTGCTCAGCCGGAACTGGAAGGTGAGGGGAAGACACAGCGATTAGTTCGGGCTCAGTGAGAGAAGAACACGGTCGGTTGTTGGTGAACGTGGAAACTGACTGTCACTCAGATTTCCTGCGGTACTTGAACGGGTCGTTGTGGAGATGATTCCCTTGCTCAGTGTGTAAACTCAACGTCCTCTCTAGGTAACTGGATCGAAACCTCCTGTTTGAATTCCCAGCTCAGTCTGAGGCTCAGTTGATCCCTACAGGGAGTGAAGGTCCGAAATATCCAGTTTGCAGGATTACTTCCTGCCGAGAGGCAAAGACAAAAAACAAAGTTTAAACTCAGGTTGACAAGAACTCAGTCTTACTCAGCAAAAACTCAGCTTGGCTAGAGTACCCAAAACTGACAAACACTCTGGCGTCGAGGTAGTGGCAATCAGCAGCTTAAGAGCACTCCGTTAACGAGGTAACCATCAGCAGGTGTGTGAGGAGGAGAACCAGAACCAGGTGGAAGGGAGACGAACACAAAACACAAACACACAGACAGAAGCCCTGACAGGAATATTGTAAATGGGAGACTTTGGGATGGCTTCATTACACGTATTCATAACACTCATTGTATAATGTTATACAAATGTTATCTCTGCATTTTGTAATGTAGTTTGATCCATGATCAGTAAATGTGCAATTGGACTGAAACCTGAATGATTTAAATCTAACTGAATAATCAAGTGAATAACTGTCCAATGAGATTTATAAACTGCTCTTTCATTCTCCCTATGTCTTTTTTTCATTGTATAGGACTTTATTTTTTATTCACAGTCCCCCTTGCACCTCTTTGCTGCACCTCAAAGCTCCTCTAGTGCTCAGTATTTATTCATAGTGCTGTTTAGCTGATCTATTTTAAGTTGCGCTTTCAAAATCCAGCAATGTATAAATCTAATAACAATAATAGATCAACCTTAAGTTTCTTGTTTCGTTTCCTGATATGTTCTATAATGTTTTACAGCCATTGTCAGCACAGTGCTCTCCCTCTGGGCGGGGCTGAGTTTCTCTCTACTTAACATTTGATTATCCATCTTTCAGGCAGACATTTTCTGAGTGCTGTAGAAGCAACATCACGTCTGCAGATTTCCACAGGAATGAGAAGATTCTGTCTATGTCCGACCTCAGGAATAAGAGACATGGGCAGGGTGGTCCTTCTCATTCTTGTGGGTCTCTGTCAAGCCATTTCTGCCTCTCCAGAAGGTGGGTTTTATAGATTTATACTTACCGTTTCTGTTTCCTTAATTCCCTTTTTCTTTTCTTTCTCGAATAGAAAACCCCCTATTTTAAGGTGTAGAAAATACAGACTACCTGTTGTTCATTTCCATTTTATAAGTTGAAAAATTCTTACAAGTCCTGTTTTCATACTTTTTACATTTCTATTTATGTATTTTATGTTTTTATTGTAATGCCTTCAGCACTTTGTTTGAAATGTTTATAATATTAAGCCTACCTTCCCCATACTGATGTGTTTTTACTGTAACACTAGAAACAGAACTTTACAGCCTACTGAACCGAATGAGGAACTTGACATAAGTTAAACATTAACAGCCTGATAAGGTTAAACTGACTGCATGTGTATATAGATGAAGGGAGGAGATGTGCACTCATTTCCTCCTCCCTCTCTCATTCTGTAACCCAAGATCAGGATGAGACAGCTGCTCTCAGAACCAGAACCCCTCTGTGTCTGCTCTTCTTTTTTTAAACTCTTCCTCTGCAGCTGCTTGAAGTTAACAGCTCAGTACATGTCAAATCTCCTCTGTACTAATTAAAAGCTGATGCAGGGGAACACAGCTCAAGATTAGATTGTTTGATTTAGATTTAGGTTTATTCAGATTATTAAACTTGAACAGATTTTAATCCCATTAAAACATTTTGGTTAGAGGAAAATAACAGTTTGTCTAATAAGAACCTGATTTTCTGTTTCGTTGCAGTTAGTTATTGACTCTAAGTTCTCTGTTCTCCACAGTGTTTCTCATTGTTCTTCTACATATTGTCCTTAGTATCCAGGATGACGAAGTCGGATATCTACCAGGCGACTCCTGAGTTTCCTCTTTGTTAAGCTGCTCTGTGTTGTGTCTCTCCTGTAGATCAGAACATCTCCGCTGTGATTGGAAGAGACGTTACTCTGCCATGCAAGGCTAAGGGGTACATGCCCTTTAAAGTGGTGGAGTGGAGCCGACCTGGAGAACACCTAGAATACGTTCTCATACTAAGAAACCAAAACTTAGACCCAAAAATCCCCAAACCGGGCTACAAGGGCCGAGTGGAGCTGAAGGACCTACAGAACGGAGACGTTTCTCTGGTTCTGAAGAACGTGACGTCTGAAGACAGCGGAACATATGAGTGTTATGTTCTAAAAAACACAGTCCGCAGGAAGAGAGCCATTAAACCAATCAGCACCATCACACTCAACGTTCTTCCTCTGGGTGAGTATCTGGATCAGAACCTTCCTGGTTCTTTATGGTGGAAACATCTCAGATCAGATGTTTTTACTTCCCATCAGTATGCCCAGGACAGCTGCGGCTACCTTGATGTTAGCTTAGCACCATCAGTGTGTGAATGAATGAATCAATGAATGAATCCGGACTCCTTTAACTTGATAAAATGTGATGCCAGGACAGGCCATTAATTATCCTAAAATCTCCCACTAACACCTTGATCTGTTCTACAGGATCCAATCATGAAAGCCAAGATAATGGAGAGAACAGAGATGGTTCTGATGGTCTGACAGGTGATCTACATTAAATCTACTTCATTTTATCGTTGTCATAATTTCTGTAAAAGTCCCAGATCCTTCTGCTGATGGAGCATCTTTGGAATTTAGTGGTTCTAATGTCTGAACAGCAGAACTCTGATGGTGAAGGAGATGTTTCTGCTCTTTGGTCACTATTGCAGAGAACTAGTGAACCACTTTGTGTCAGGGTGTGGAAACAATCATCTGATTCCAGACGTCAACAAAACAAATTAGATGATTGTAGATTTCAGAAGAAGCAGAAACAAGTTAAATCACATTAACGTTATGGGAGAAGAATTGGAGATGGTGGAGGAGTAGAAGTACCTTGGTGTTCACCTGGACAACAAACTAGACTAGAGATGCAACTGTGAAGCCGTCTACAAGAAGAGATGGACTGGACTTTCTAAGGAAGATTTGGCCCTTTGGTGTTGCAGCAAAATGCCACATATCTTCTAATTGTCTGTTGTGGAGAGGGTGATCTCTTCCTCCATCATCTGCTGGGATAATAGCATCAGAGCAAATTACATAAAAAGGCACCACAAGCTAATAAAGAAGGTCTGCTATCTGCTATAAACACATACAACACCTGGTTGTGAAAAGAAAAAAAATATAGATAGATAGATAGATAGATAGATAGATAG